GGAGTGGGCAGCTCCAAAAGGAGCTGGCCCAATAGGATGCGTGCAACCGGGCTTGATCCCGCATCATCCCCGTAACGGTATCTGTTGGGCGAAAGTCTGGTGTCGTAACCTACTGGGCTAGCTCCTATCACGACAGTGATAGGAGCATCTCTTCTATAAGAAGAGCTTGGCCCTGGTCTTCCCTCCTGTCTATAGCCTTGCAGGCCATGCCTGCCTGAGGCCTTGCAGGCCCCGCCTGCCTGCCTGTTTTCCCGTGGATGGCTGCCCATGCACGACTTAGGGGTCACCCAACGGGTAGGTCTCGGCATTGGCCTATCGGCACCCTGGCTCGAAATCAAACCCTGCAGCCCAAGAAATAGAAAAAAAAATTATATTCCACCCGCGCCGCGGCCCCATACTCGGCGCATCCCTCTTTTTAGCCTACTTAGGCCCTGAATCGGAATAAGTCTAGCTTTAGCGTTCCCATGTCCGCACGCCTCTGTGACTTCGACAAAAGCGGAGCACTGCCAACTACTGTCGTTACTTTCGGACGCCACAAGCGCCCAGACTAAAACTCGAAAACTTTTCGTCTCTCAGTCAAAGGTAAGGCCTGAATAAACTTTTGGCAAACGTCAGTCTCATCAAGTCCTTCATTTCAACGCAAAGGTCATACAATGTCCGACGTTTGAAATCCCCAGCAAATACCCTTGTACCCCGACAACGAGCCGTTCCGATAATTGGGATTTCTTAGGATGTGTTGTTAAGGTTTTTGACTGGCCCTAGGGAGTCTGATGCACAACAGTATACAAGAATCAGAGCGTTATTTTCACATGGATTCATTTTCAAAATCTACAAGATGCATGCTCTTATGTAAGTAGGAAGCATAAAATGGCAGTGGTTGGGTCATTCTTGCATAGGGTAAGAACTTAAAAAGATTTACGGATATGCCTGTCACACAGAGTTGGATTTCCTCTGTTCATTGAAGGTCGAAATGAGATTGTGGGGCTTCGGTTATGAACTTTTTTATGTGAGCTTGCGAAATTTCTCTAACAAGTTTGAAGGGGTTTATCAAGACTGGGTTGAATGTTTGACAGGATGGGATTGATTTTTTTAGCGCAAAAGGGATGGACTACAGAGGCCCGAGAATTGGGGCAATTTTTTGGAAGGGTGTGGCCTACGGAGGTTCGAGAATCGGGGGCAAATTTTTTGAAAGGGTGTGGCCTATGGAGGTCCGAGAATCGGGGGCTTGGGTTGGACTGAATTAGAGTCCTTCTTTAGGAGGTTGTTATCCGGTTGGAGTGTGGTACTTGTGTCCCTTCAGGATGGTCCGACCTGTAGACTAGGTACATATAGCCGCCGATGCGTTAGTATTGTCATCTCTCCTTTCGCAGGAAGATTCCTGAAGAGTTTGGTACTAGCGACCGAACGAAACATGTCGAGTCAATCGCCAGAAGGTTCAGCATGATCGATGATGATACGGGCGTGACACCCAATTTTGGTCCGAGGTGATAGGCTGTGTGGTTATGTATTTTTCTAACGAGGCCTATCCCCGCTGCGTTCGGGAGTTTATGATGATCTGACGTGTGGTTCATCTGCATGGTTGACTTGTTGAGTCTGTCGTGTTGGTCTTTGTTGTCTATGGATGAAGGTCTTCTGTATCACCTCTGTTGAGATGATTGAATGAAACTTCTTGGTCTTTGTTCTGATGAGTGTATGACCATGCTCACTACCCTGTGAAGTCCCAGCACAACGGGAAATTGGGTGTATGGTAAGACGTACGCTCACTTCACACAGACACGATCGCATGACAAGCGTAACGACAGTGCAAAACAGACGTAAGGTGGGAGAAAAGACAGACAATTATTACAATCCGAGCACAGGTAGTGCATCGTAGTAAAATTAATCATGAAAAACGACGACGCACAACGGCGCGACCCGACGCCGCGTTTCGACAAGTCGCCAACCGGTACTCCTCAGGGGTCATTCAGGCGCAAATGAATCTTCGGATAGTCAACTCTTTACTTCGTCAAAGAACCTGTCTAGGAAGCTCCTCATTCTCAGCTCCACCTTTAATGTCAGTGAGAAACATGCTTCTGCCCCTTGCAAGCTATTCATGGACCGCGCTCTGTGCAGAAAAGAAGCAATCACTGCCATCTTTTGCTGCTTCGAAGAATACGAAGAAAAATCCTGCAACCCTTGGAAAATGGTTCCATCATCAAACATAAATCTCTCATTCTTGTGGGTGACTGCGCATAACACTTGCACTGGTTCGTGAAATACTTTGATAACACAACTTAAATAATCCCAAGCATTGTCGTTTCTAGTTCTTTCCAAAGTTAGCATCTTATCATAGTTTTTACTGAAGTTGGCAATCCTCAGTTCAGCATCCAATCTGTTGAGCATTGACCGTTTATCAAACCTGGCGAATACTGACACGTCATCGACTAATCTTACACCCGTGAAAAGTTTCCTCTGGGTGCCCAGTGTTTGCAGAAAACAATACTCGTTGTGGACACAGAGAAGGCAGGCCATAGCTGGACTGGCCGACTTTCCCATAGGAATTCCAACAGTTTGGTGCAGCACTACCCCCATGCATATCGTATATGTGTTCTCTAAATCGAAGGCAACAATACTTAGTAACTTTGAAAACTTCATGCGAAACCATCCTTCCTTCGAAGATTTCCCACCCGTCAACTTTGCACCTTTCCCCCTCTTTTTGATCCGGACTCCATCGTGACCTTGTTCTTCATACCAGTGGACAACCCATTCAACCGCTCGCTGGATAGAAGCATGTGGACGGTTTGAGAACATTTCCTTTACGTCGAAACTGGCAGCAAGAATGTCATCGTACGGACCTACAAACTGATTGAGTGAAGACAATTTGGACAGAAGATCACTAGGAGATTTAAGATTGAAGTGACAGTTGGGAGAAAGAGACCACACCAGATGATTAATAGCCTTAGATATCGCCTTACTAAGCCTAACTAAGAAAGAGACCACACCAGATGATTAATAGCCTTAGATATCGCCTTACTAAGCCTAACTAATGGATCAGTACACGAAGGACAGATTGGTCGCCACCTTGAAACGTCTTTGTGCTTGGGCATGGCGTACGTTTTACCCAGCCGGCACTTATAATTCCATTGCGCAATCTCCTGCCGCATGTTTGCAAAATACTTATCCTTAATATCTTGGATGACCGCATCTTCACTCCTTCCATCAACGATAAAACCTGCATTTCTCAAAAATAATGTTTTCAACCCTTTACAATACGGCGCAGGACAACAAACAAACGAGTCTTCAGGATTATGGTCCACGACAGATACTACCAGGCCTTCTAACTTATTTCTCCATTCGAGTGCTATCGATAGCTCTGCCTTGACTCGATGATCGTTATTAGCTTTCTCCGAAAAACATGCCTTCAACCCATTATCTTGGACGTTTAATAGTACTGTATCTTTTTGTACCGTATTCAGTGATCTAACTATGGACTGGCGTAACGCAGATAGGTCTAATGCAAGATTTGGGTAAAGAATATTCCTAGAGTTTTTTAGTGGTAAGGGAATTTCAAGAGAGGAAAAACGTGACACGACGTGTCCGTTCGGGTTGCGCTGGAGTAATGAAGGGGACGAAAGACAAGTGCAATCTAAAGAAGTAGACCTAGCGGTCTTTCTGTGATTATGAAGATAGTCTCCAACACATTTGTTTTTTGAGCATACGATCCTTAGTCTCCGACAGATAAGATGTTGAAGCGGTTTTCTTACCGCTGATGACCGAATTGTCCGTACGCACAGTTTTCGTAATCTCGACTTTGACAGCCTCTCATCGAACGGGATTCTTACCACAGGCTTCAGACGGATGTCGAATTTAAACTTTGCTCGCAATACCCTTGCCAAAACATTCCTCAGAGTAGAGCGACTTTCTTTCTTTGAAAAGGACCTGATAACACTGTATGATTCCAAAAGACTTTCGAAATCCTGTTTATACAACAATCGTCGGGACGAAGGGGAGGACAGTAGTGGAGTAAGAGCAGCTTTCTTATCTATGAAACGGAAACAGAAACACAACAAATGTTCGATATACAACTTATTTCTATTTACCATCCATCCTCTCGCTTCCTTAAGTAAGCACGTACCTCGTGCGGATTTAACCACCGTAGATCCGTATTTCCTGCTCAATACTTTCCATCGATCACACAACACCTCACCTTCCATGCATACTATCGAAAAAAACTTGACATGTTTCTCGAAAGCTTCATCCAAAATCTTAGTCAACGACACCGATGTCGATCCAAACGAAGCATTAAAAAGGACAAAATCTTTACGTTGTTCCTTAGCATCGCTATGGCTACCTACTACCTTCTTCACCCGTTCTTTCTTACCTAACCTACACTTACGATTAGTATTGCTTCTACTCTGACCATGACAATTCAAAAAGGGGGAGAAAGAACGAATGAAGAAGCGTTCGCATTCAAGTAAGTCGTTGGAAGAGGGGTGAGCAACAGGCACGGCCACATAGTTCTCCACTCCGTATCTTCTTAACCATTGGTACAATCTATGGTTCCTAATTTCGTCATTCTTACCTTCATACAGTGTCCGTCTGACATTCTCGTTCCATCGTACGTCTAGTGGCCGCGTAGTACATCCTACATACATATGTTTGGCCCAAGGAGAGACAAGGACGTAGACAACAGGTCCGGGACAGCAGTTGAAGTCGTAGCCATAATTGACGAGATTTAAGATGTACGGAACAAACTTTAGGGCCCACGGAAGTGCAGAAGATAGAATTAGGAGTAGAACATAACTACAGAAAAGAACATTAAGATTGCGAAGACACAACGTACTCTTCTCTTTTCTCAACTCTCGAACTTTCGCGATGGATGAATAAATACGACCGGTGCTCGGAACCGGCTCTACGTTGTCTTCTCGGCTAACTCTCCCGCGGTTTTCTTCACACCTCCATAGTCGATTCCCTCGTCTTTACACAGCACCTCTAGCTGTGACTTCCTCAACTTTGCCAAGTCCGTAAAAGCTCTTTTGTAGAAAGCCTCACGATCTTCGCCTATCTTCCTTACGAACGTGACTTTTACTTGCTCGTCGCCGGGCTTCCTTTTTGGGCTCTTCCTTCGGAAGAGCTTGTGCCGGGAGCTCGATGGTGACGTAATTTGATCCTGTTGATTCTTTCTTTCAACGCAGAAACCTCGTGCTCCGCCATGTCCTTCTCATCTCGAACTCGCCGGTATGCTTCGGACAACTTTGCCCAGTCACCCGGTGTCTGGCCTTCCGTCACGGCTTTACATTTTCCTCTCGTTGGTTCTTGTGGTGGACTTTTCTCGGAGACGACCTCAAAACCTCTTTTACTGCTGCGCTTTAGGTTCTCCATTTCGTCTCGCAAGAGAAGCACATCGTGAATCAATGCCTGGTTGTCTGCTTTGAGTGCGTCTAGCTCCTTACTCGCTCTTCCCGTGGCAACTCTCGTCAAGTCATCGTTCTCTTTCCTCAACCGTTGGACCTCCGCGTCCCTCTCCTTTTCCATCTGCTCTCTTGCAACTGCGTCCTCCTTCCACCATTTTTCGTCTTGTTCCTTCCTGCGCACCTCAGCAGTTGCTTGGCTGGTGTTGGACTTGCCTTTCACCATCACTTGGTCGCATACCTCCTTCATGCTTTCTTTCACTGTCCTTGCCAACGAGTTCTCAAATTCTTGTCGCTCCTTCTTGGCTTTATTTCGCTCGTCTTCTGCCTCTTGAGCACGCTTCTTCTCCTCCTCTTCTTTTTGTTTCTGCTCTCTCTCACTTCGTTCCTTCTCCTTGTTGTCCATAGCTTCCGAATACCAATCCCACACTCTCTCGAACTTGTCTTGTTTCTCTTTTTCTCTGTTGTCGGCCCACCAATTGCTGCGTGGCCGTTGCTGGTACCCTCCTCTGTTGTACCCTCCATTGTATCCTTGATGGTTACAACTCCCGCTTGGTCCTTGATTATGGTTACCGCCTTGCCCTTTGTTCGGACCGTGTCTTCCTCCATCATTCTGACCTCCGTTAGCTGCTGGTGCTTGATACGGTACGATGGCATTCGGTGCTGGCAGTAACCCATCGACGTCTTGTGGCGCCGGAGCTCTGCTCCCATCTCCACCTTGACCGCCTAACAGGGCGGCTGCGTTCGGGACTTGCCTAAGTTGGCAATCCCTAACGAAGTGGCCGGGTTGCTTAAAGTGGTGGCAAACCCGAGGACCACCATAATACATTGTGCCGAAAGAGAAATAACGGATAGAAGTAAATAGCGAGTGGGGGGAAAAAACGAAAGGAAAGATATGCGCCCAACCCACAAGCAAACCCGATGACCGGGTAAGCTAACCGCAGGCTTATCACCACCACACGAGCGTAGTAACTGCTACGACGGTTGTGATGCGTATGAACGTATGGTAAGACGTACGCTCACTTCACACAGACACGATCGCATGACAAGCATAACGACAGTGCAAGACAGACGTAAGGTGGGAGAAAAGACAGACAATGATTACAATCCGAGCACAGGTAGTGCATCGTAGTAAAATTAATCATGGAAAACGAGGACGCACAACGGCGCGACCCGACGCCCCGTTTCGACCGGTCGCCAACCGGTACTCCTCAGGGGTCATTCACCTGGCGCAGATGAATCTTCGGATAGTCAACTCTTTACTTTTACGAATTCTACACTACAACTCCGACATCGTAAGCTTATTCCCAAATGTCAGACCTGCAACCCACAGATGCTGCTGTGAAAGGGTAGGCCGTCGACCCTCAAAAATCATGACAAACAATCTCAAATACAGTAGGGCCCTTCTTCGAATGTTGTCGAGTACCAGGGGTCTGATACCCAGCGTTGGGCTGTGTCCGCACAAATGGGGTGGGTGCGAGAGCCTTCAAACATTGGCGGGGAGGAAAAAGAAGTTTTGTGGGATTCAAAGTTCTTCAAACACGTTTTTTTTTTTTTTTTTTCGTTTTTATAATTATAATTCGAATACATTTCTGGGTATCGGCAGCTCCTGGACCACTTCCGAAACGAATAGCAAACCGCGGGCATGTTCCTACAGCAGGCAGCCAACTATTTGTAATAATACATACATGCCTTCCCGCCAGTTTATGGGCCTCGCTCCACTACTGTTCACATGCACAAACGACAACAATTGTAGCAATGTATCTAGCGAAGGATTCGGTCTCATTTTGCTCATTGGAGAGTGGTGCAGCGAGGCCCTAATCTGCGGAATCCGGTCATCCCCGGGGCTAGGTCCCACTTGCACGAATTAAGAGATACTAACCGTATAGCAAAGATCAACGGCCGAAATCTCCTAATTTGCGCAAGTGGGACCTTGCCCCCGCAAGCCGTAGTACACGTGTCTCGTGCTTTTCCGCAAGCTCGAATTTCGAACTGGACTGTTCCTTCCCGTTGAGACCGCGCCTTTTTTTTTGTTTTTTGTGTTTTGTTTTTTTTGAAAGACCGCGCTTGTCATCCCGCCAACTTGCACACGGGCATCGGAGAGCGTACTCACGCTAGCCTTTCCGGGACGTATCTGGCGGCAATTGCGAGCTTCCACGGAAGAATGTGACCGCAATTTGCGACGGGAGCTGAGCAGAAAAAGTCCTAATGTGAGTTCCCTGAGCCCCTTCTTTTCCGCGCGCGCGAGCTTTCCACGGGTGATAAACGACAAGTCCATCACAGGTGCTGCTGGAATCACAGCCGAAGCCGCGCTTTCTTTTTTTTCTTTTTCTTTTCTTTCAAAGGCGATGAGTCTTCTTGTTAAAAAAAAAAAAAAAAAAAAAGAATCTTCCCCGGCAGTCGAACCCGCGCTTTCCAGTGATCCCGCAAAGCTGCCACCTGAGCATGCCTCCTGTGGCGTGCGGCTTGCCCGCCCAGCCACACTGCGAAGGGCCTCGCCACACCACTCTCGAAATGTGAAAACGACAAAAATGTGGCGTGCGCATCTGGCCATGTTGTAGCGGGACGTTCATTCTCATTTTGCACATTTCGAGAGTGGTGTGGCGATGCCCGAAGTTCCCAACGAGGGCGACTCGCACTGGTAGGGGCGATCAGAGCGTCCTCGGTTGTTGAACGGCTGCCCACGGAGACAGGCAATTCAAAAGCGAGGTGCGAGAGGAGCTTTGGCATGCTCATTCTCGGTACAAGCGTTGCGAGGAGCGAAGTAGCTCCGCTTCAGAGAGGGCGCAGCAAGTCGGTACGCTTAGGAGGTACTCCATACTCGCCGGGAGAAGAAAAGAGGAGAACATCGAGTACGTGGTGGCGGAGGGGTGGCAACCGGCGTCGTAGGTTGTGTGGGAGATCGCCATGGCTCCGACCGGTCGGAGTTGGTCGGCGGGTGCGATGCTAGCGCTGCTGTCCATTGCAGCTGTGGCGTCAGCCACTGGAGATCCCGCGTGTGGCGGGCTCCCGTTCGCCGCGGGTGTCTGCAGCGGCAAAGGTGGTGAAGCTGACCTGGTGACGCCGAACACTGGCACGCTTAAGGCCACTGAGAAGGTCGGTGCGCAACCTCTTCCCCCCGTGGCTGTCGGATTCCAGGACGCCAACGGCAACGATCGCTCATCAGGTCGGAAGGGAGACGTGGTTGTGGCCCAGGACGGGAGCGGGAACTTCCGTACGGTGCAGGCCGCCATCAATGCTGCCCCAGTGAAGAGCACGAAGAGGTTCGTGATCTTCATCAAGCCCGGACGCTACACGGAGAAGGTAACCGTTCCTTCGAACAAGCCGTTCATCACGCTGCGGGGTTCAGGTCCATACCGGACGGTGATCAGCTGGGGCGACCGGGCGTCGACCTTGCTGAAGACGACCAAGAAGCCGATGGGCACGTTTCTGTCGGCGTCTGTGGGAGTGAACGCGGACTACTTCACTGCAGAGGACATTACTTTCCAGAACCATGCCTCGCGGCCGCGACCCAACTCGTTCACGGAACAGGCGGTCGCTTTCCGCATCACGGGTGATTTCGCCGCCTTCCACAACGTGCGCTTCTACGGCTACCAGGACACGCTGTACTGCCACCGTGGGAGGCATCTGTTCAAGAACGTGTACGTGCGCGGCAGCGTGGACTTCATCTTTGGCAACGGCAGGTCGATGTTCCTGGACTCGCTGCTGTTCGCCGACGTGACGAAGACGGGCGGCGCCCTCACCGCTCAGAAGAGGGATTCGACCAAGGAGCCCACCGGCTTCGTYTTCATYCGGTGCAAGGTGCAGGGGACCGGGCAGGTCTACTTGGGCCGTGCTTGGGGCCGTGCCGCCCGCACCATCTTCGCGTACACGTACATGGACAACGTGATTCTCCCCGTGGGMTGGAACGACTGGTTCGACCCGACCAGGCAGGAGACCATCTTCTACGCCGAGTACAGGTGCTCTGGCCCTGGAGCTCGCAGGGGTCAGCGCGCCAGATGGTCCTTCGGCCTCACTGACAAGCAGGTGCAGCCGTTCCTCTCCACCAACTTCATTGATGGCAAGAAGTGGCTCGGGAAAACCGGAATCCCCGGGCTCCGCGATGTCGGSACCAAACAGTCCGGCACCATGCCCACGAACGCGCCGCCACCTCCACAGAACCCAAAGAGACTCAGGCTCTTCATGTAGGTTCCCGGGGCATCCCACATTTTTACGAATTCGCTCAGTGATCCGGTGGGCAGCACCATGCTTTGGCTCTCATCTCCGACCTTCCCTTTCTATTCTCTGCTTCTCCGTATTGGTTTTCCCGATTGAAAACCTGGACCGTTTCGTCTAATGGGAATCACGGCTTTCGTGTTTTCCAARAAAGCGGTGGTAATGACGCTTGGCCAGTGTAGTCGATCTCCGTTATAGGCGATTAAAGCAGATTGTGTGCAATCTGCTAGGCGATCAAAAGCATTGATTGGTCGAGTGGGAGAACGAAGGTCGAATTCTCAGACGATTCAGGTTAAATTGTCAGTAAAGTGCTCTCTCTCTCTCTCTCCTATGATCCAAGCTAGAGAGCATGGCGTTTGTGTCTTGGTGCTGTAAGTCAGTGCAGCTTCTTGGGTGATTCGGTCGGTATCCGTTGGGTATCTCACTTTACAGAGGTGATTGATACGAGCGAACTTCGCTATGTTTTCTAATTTTGCTCTATGTAAAGCAGGCGATGTTTTCGACGATGGATAGTGGTTGCGAGCTGTTTAATCATTGAAGGATTGGTAACTGATTAATTGGCGAGTGTGACTTATTGAGAGATTGATTCTTTGCGATTGTGACTTATTGATAGATTGATTCTTTGCGATTGTGACTTATTTATAGATTGAGTCTTTGCGATTGGACTTATTGATAGATTGATTCTTTGCGATTGTGACTTATTTATAAATTGATTCTTTGCGAGAGCGCAGCCATTCAGGTGGTGTTGTTTTTGCACGACCATTTCGAATGCGGATAATACCGTCCATTGCTTTTGCCTTGAGATGTACTGGGACCCCCGCTGTCGTCTGGCTTCGCTTTTGTTTTACCTTTTTCGCCTCTCTCTCTCTCTCTCTCTCTCTCTCTCTCTCTCTCTCTCTCTCTCTCTCTCTCTCTCTCTCGCTCGCTCGCTCGCTCGCTCGCTTGCATTTTGTATCTGTCGAGAGGAAGAATTCAGATGGGATCTACGATGTTGTTCTCGTCTTTCATCTGTTCGCCTTTCGCGTCTCTCTATATTGCTTTGTTACTTCGCGTTTCGCGCTCGCTGTGAATGACGTCTCCGTGTTTCCCTGGAAATTGGAGGAAGGTTGGTTCGTGGTGCGGGCAAGACGTTTTAGTTTGTTGTACTGGTCTGAATCAAATAACTGTGATGCATACCTGTCTCTCTGTGCCTGTCTCTCTATGCCACGTTTCCTTGGCAAGAGCGGCATCGCCTACCTGTCTCTCTGTGCCTGCCGTGCCTGCTCTTCGTTGACCATTTGCCTTTCATCCGTGAACGTTCGTTGTCCTCCGCACATTCGGAAACCTTCCCTGTTTTCGTTTGTTGCGGCTTGTCGTCCAATTCAGCGAGCGATCAATTTAATCCTGCTATCAGGTGGAACGTGAATTTCGGTGGTCTTGTCCTGTCGTTTGGCCTGTTAAGGAGGGGCGGTGCTTACGTGTGGGACTTGTCATCTAAGATCTGTTTTATGGTGCTATTGGTTGTTGCCCCCTGTTTTGTTTTATTTGGCTGTTCCCTTCGTCTTTTCGTTGCCTCTTTGCCCTTTGGCCGTGTGCAAGTGGGTCGATATGACACACGGGGGTGGGGGCAGCCGCCGCTCAACCTACATCCACGTGGGCGGCCTTGTACGCAAGAGGTTCTGTAAGAAAGAAGATAAAAAAACGA